ACCTGCGACGTGTGTCTGCGTGCAAACACAACTTTGCACGCAGTAGTGGCTTGCTCGGGTACTAATGTGCGCTGATCCGATCTAGATAGTTTAGTACACTAACAGTTTATCCTGATACTCTTATCGTTCGAGTTTTATCTTCTTTGAATATGTCTCTGGGTCGAAACCCGGTTCTACGATGGTATTTTATGGCACTTAAAACTAAAAAATTGGAGAGTCTCATTAAAGAGACTCTTTCGTGAGTGATCAGGCTTAGAATTATAAAGTATTACGGGGTCATCAAGACGTAATTCGACCAAGTGTTGAGTTAAGTGATTCAAACCTATACCAATATCTTTGCTATATTATGCAAAGTGTAGTACATAGCTGGGCTGCATAGCGTGCGCATGCGTGCTGTCTCCAGGGTTGTGAACGAAAAAGTTTTTGTTCGGGTCGCGAAGGAAGGACCATGTTGGTAAGGTGATAACTTAGCGCTGATTAGATGCAACTCTATCGAAGTCAGATAACATCGTTGATCAGATCAACTTGATCTGCCGGACTAAGAGTTCGTCGCTGCAGATTGATTACATCTCAACACGAGCTGCGACCGTTCAACATACATCACCGGTAGCATCATGGACTTTAAATTTGATAAATATATCGATGATGAGTAAAAACTTATAGTGAATACATAGCATGTATGGATAATGATAAAGTTAGTAGTATGGCAGGTGTCGCAGGGATAAATATGGATAGTGAAGGGATAAGTGTATAAGAAATGCGCATAGAACAGCCATGATGATTGTGAACGTAGTCATTAAATGCGGCTGGTTCCCATAATTATATGAATAACAGATATCAGTCACCAAAATTTACGAATACAAAATATAGATAGAAATGCCATGACAGGTTGCTAGTCTGAGGATAAGCTTAGACATACATCCACAATCTACTAACTATCATCTCATTAGTCTCCTCGAGTTCTCGCCCGGGTCGTACATGTAGCTCCTCGACACGTGAAACAATACCATCTCTTGCGGTTTCCCAGTGCCGCTATATGACCCGATTCAACTCCAGAGGCTGCTGCATAGTGCATTGCACAGTCAATATGCCACCACTCATGCGGACAGCTTGTATTACTGCACTTGATCATGACTATGCTGGAGACGTGCCCACGTTTACAACCACAGTACTGCGAATTATCTTCTGCAGGGGGGGTGAGTTGGCCACGTAATATTGGTGTAGTCTTGCTCTTCAGGGACCCTCGGTATATTGGCATCCTCCGGGAGAGCGTCTGCTCGTTCATCCTGTTGAATATCAGGGGAGCTTACAAGATTTTGGGAATCATTGGGAGCTTCTGCCAGCAATTCTTCGTTGACTCTCCTTCGTTTGTTACGAGTAGTCTTTTCTATTCCATATCTAGCCGTGGTGGGTATACTTGGTTCTTGTATCAGTCCACCACCATCACGCTTCTGTCGGGGCGGGTTGAAGAAAGTCGTAACTGTAGCCCAGTCTCTCAAAGCTTGAGGAGTGGAGTCCAGTCCCATGCTGTAGGCAATGCACACTACATGTGGGCAAATAGTATCTGTCGCCCATTGTGCGCAGGTACACCATGGCCCTTGTGGAGGCAGGATATTCAAGTCGGCCGACTGACTATAGCTCACAATTGAGTATGATCTCTTCATCGCGGCTGCTTCATTCAAGGAACTGTATTGGCTGCAGCAGTAGTTTTTAACTGACGTATTGCCAGCATTGTTGATGAAGTCTCGTAAGTCCGCGGGAACGGCCTCCTTGGATCGATCAACGAATAGCCATCGAACCATATGCTCCTTCGTCACGAGGACCTAGTACTATAGAGGAAACCGAAACGTTAGAAACGGCAAAGCGATGCTCTAGCCTCACAGCGGGGGACTTACATCCGTCGCCGCTTTCTCCTTCACCGTTTATCCTCAACCACATTCGTGACGACCTCTGCCTCCCGGCGCCTTCGATCACGTCGTTCGCGCCAATACTCCTGAATTTTGTACGCGGCCGCCTTGCGGATATGCTTCCGATACCTACCATGGGCATCATCGAAAAACAAACGCCAGGACAGAGAGGAAACTCTCACACAAACGGCAGCAAACGGCGGCAGATGAACTTGATGATGACTACGAGGCGGAGAAAATACTGATGGGACCATTTCCAGCAGTTCTGCCGTCGCCGCTGTATAATGAGAAGGCGGCTCAAAGCCTAGAAAAGCACCATCAGGAGCCGACTCTGACGCTGGCAGTACATACCCGGATGTAGCATTGTTGGCAGTATCTCCTTCTTTTGATGATGGAGGTCGCTATCGTGCAGAATGTCAAAGTTGCCCGTAATACTTACGTAATGCCTACTCAAGGGTTTAACTTCTGGGTATTGTTGAGTCGTCAATACGTACAATCGTACCAAACCATGAGACACAACTGATACGATGCAAAAAGAGAGAGGATACTCGAAGATGGGACTCAATTTAACTGTTATTTCATCTGATTCAATCGCGACGTGCAAGAGCAATCATGTGTTTGGTATTCAGCATTGATCATAACTCGCGCTGTCTTCAGAGTGAATGATATATCTCACTAGAGTGCTGTCACGCTTTGACCCGATACTAAGTGACTCACTTGAAGTGAGACACGAGGTGTGACACCTCTGATAGATACTTAGTAAGTGCACAGGGCATGAACATGCACCAAAATGGATATAAGACGCAATACCGTAATCGAACGAGAAATGCTATCCCATAACTATGTTTGCTCGATTGTATATTACTTGTACGAATAATGCAAAAGGGCAAGTTTGCTAATAACACTAACAGAGACGGAGTTTGAGCGAATGAGCAAAACGCTAGTATATATTCTCGCAGGTCGTAAGTTACAAGAGAGCAAATAGCCGAAACATAAAAGTAGCGCAGCGTTATCACATACCGGTAACTGCCAATTTGTATATTTCATGCAGGAACATCACACAATAGCAAACCTTAGAAGGTGCCAGACTGCATAATTACAACGCAAAACATATTAAACAGCAAATGAGCAAAACTTGCCAAAATTACGAAAACGCGCGGGCGAAGCACACTTGGGCAAAAGCGCCAGCGTGTAAAACATTCCGGGGAAATATACAATGCAGCAAAAAAAGAGCAAAAAAGAGCGACTTGCTGGAAAACATCCTTGGATTTGCTACTTTCAACATTTGGTTGCTAAAACCTATACCAGAAATTGCTAGGTTGTAAATGTGGTTGCTACTTTGTAACTGAGAAAGCAGCACATACAAAAGAGCAAGAAAGTGAGACTGTCAGAAATTATAGCATTTGCAAAAATGCTTCCTTAGCAAAAAGTTGCGATTGCCGGATTGTATTACACCGAAACGGATGGGCTGGAGGAAAGCAGCTAGGCTGAGCCTAGTAGGCTCCATCGTCAGTCTCATTCTTCCTCCAGACTCTGGACTAACAGCATCATAGAAGTCTGCTCTTTTCAGAGCCTTCTGGATCTGAAAGAATACCCTTGACTGAGGTTATACTACTGGCACAACCACCTCGATATGGTTGACCCCAGAACTGATATTATCTGAATACCATGGCTGATACAATTACACCACCGGTGATACCACGGCTGAGCCGAGTCGGCTCTCTCTTTACGAGTCTGCTTCTGGGCCCCTTCCCAGATTCTGCTAGCTACAAGTAGTCTATGATGGGTAAGAGAGTGAATAGATGACCTCTGAATAATATACTGAGATCCTTGACAATACGTGTAGGAGTTTGGTGGACTAGGCATACTTGAAAATGGACTCTGTGAATCCGCGGATGAAGGGTCGGAAAAGAGCAAGACCGCGAGTGTAACTTACACTGGCTAGTAATTCAATTACACTTACACTGTGTAAGCCTTGTGTTGTAGCTGGCCTTGATCACGCTCTTGCGGCCAAGGGAATACAACCCCAGCTCGAATGCTAACACCCACATGGTACAGCACTAGCGCGGCTTACCGACCGATCCAGCCGACTCGACAAGCACAGATGAGCTGTGCTTATGCATGTTAATGGAATTTACAGACACATACGATACATACTATGCACTGCATACTATAGAGCAGGTAGCTGATAAGGTGTCCGACAGAAACAGTCAGCTAACTGACAGCCAGTATTGGAGTTCGCCAAAGTTATCGAGAGACTAACGACAATAACGAATGCTTAACCAATACAACTCGTTCACCACATTTTCTTCAACATTACTTCCTCTTAAGTAGCAAATGTAAATCAAAACACCCTCAACCTCATGTCAACCCCTCTAATTGGTAAATGACTCATCGTAACACAATACATAGTAGTGTGGTGGGATCAAGAGAAACAGGACTAACTAGTCATAGACTAATCTGGTCTGCATAACAGAGGACCTCACAGTGTTCATCGACAGCTAACTCGCAGATATACCAAAAAATTTAACGATCAGTAGACTATTTCAGTGGTCTTATTATAAAACAAGGAGATTGCAGAGAACCGAATACTTTTTCGGTTCAACAACAATTTGATAGGGACGGTACCAGATGATAAGAACGAGTAAGCAATCTAGAAAATACAACATATTATTTCCAGTAGGGAATTATCGAATTATCCGTTCACACGGAGAAAAATAGTGATCGTGGTCATTGAAAGGAGCCTCGCAACAGTCGCTACTTGGTGATAGAGAAGAGCGACTAGAGAAGTGAAACTAAACCTGAGAAAAGGCCAGTATGGTACAACGAAGCGCAATCAATGCGTTTCAAATTGTGGTGGTAAGATTTGCACTCAAGCCGTGCTCTGTCCGAGACATATGTTAGCAATGAGGCCGAAAACACTTCCACTAAGGATACCGGAAATAAGGCCGAATGCCATAACATACCCAGAGACCTCCTCTTCGGATGACCCTTGTGCATGAGTAGGACCTTTCATCATTGATAAGGTACAACCACAACCGTTAGTAATGGCGAAACATCCCATTATGAGATGTTTGAACCAATCATAGTAGAATGGAACCAGCATTGGGTACAAGCTCACACAAATGAATAACGGAATGTAGATGAGACGAGCAATAACCCAAATCATCAAACACCATTCAGGCATGTCGAACTTCAAACTCGGCGCGAAACGTCCGATGGTATCCACAACCTGGAAGGTGTAGATAACCTGTGCTACGAAGTCAGTATTGCTAGGGTCCTCGGACTTCCAATAGGACACTTGTGCAGGGAAGACCACGAAAGTGACACCCATGGTACCCCATGCACATAATGCCATAGGCAAGATATCCTTGACGATGTAAACAACCGGACGTCTAGTCTGACGGGTCTTCAAACTCGCCGTCTTACGCTTCTCCTCAATCTTCAACACCTCTCTCATATAAGGGTGCTTGGAGGTGACGCATCGATACATAGGTATAACAAAAACAGTAATGACAGAAGTGACGCAGAAAAAAACCAGGCACTGCCACTCTGGCTGACGACGTACATTACCAGCATCAAAAATGACTTGTAGCAACATATTGATAGGCCAACCAACCAAACCGGCCACACCTTCGCCAGTCATATCCGCGATCATGCAAGATTGTGGACAAAGAGCTGCCAGACCGAAGGAAGAAGACTCCATCAATGCATGGCCAAAACCGAGCAAGAAGACACAGACTAGAGCAAGGCCGAAACCTAAACCTTCATCGGGACACGGATTCCCATCACCAATAGTCATAGCAACAACAGCAAGAAGGATGTTGAAGATAGCCAGAATCGCACAACCCCAATCAAAACGGGGTGCAAAGCTGAACTTGTTACCTACCCAAATTAGTAGAAGCTGAGCCACGTTGACAGCAATAGAGTATATAATAGGGACAGTTGAACTGAAGTGATTATGAAACTTGGAGTCCAGATAAGGCAGATCAGCCAGAACGAAGTTCCAAGGGGCCAATGCCACAAATCCAAGAATAAGGAACTGCGCCAACAGCGACCAGTCGACCTTGGGCTCTGACTTCTTTTCCTCTTCGGTCTTGAAAGACCTAGCTTCTTCCATATCAACTAGACTGTCGTCTTTGCTTGCAGGAGAACGCGAGCTTTCAGTCGAAGACATTGAATTGAGTTATATAAACTGAAAGAAATACCTGTCGGAAGTCTCATAACAAATGTAATGTCCGACCATAAGGCAGAACTATCCGATTCAATAGTCTCTGGAACCGAATTGGTGAACGCCATGACAGACGATCACCTCCCCAAACGCAAATGTATCACCGACAGTAACATAGCACATTTCATAGTGTGGTGGGATCAAGAGAGACACGACTGGGAAGTCATAGACTATTCTGGTCTGAAAGAGAGAAGATCTCACGGTGTTCGTCGATAGCAAACTCGTACATATATCGAAAAAAGCGATCAGTAGACTGAGTCAGTGGTCTTATTATAAAACAAAGAGATTGCAGCTAACCAAATTCTACTTCGGTTCAACAACAATTTAATAGAGAAAGTACTAGATGATAAGAACGAGTGTGCAATCTAGAGTATACAAAGAATATACGACTTTCAACAGGAAAAGGGACGTCCACACAGAAAAATAGTGCTGATGGTGGTCATTGAGAGGCGCCTCGCGTCAGCCACTACTTTTTATAAAAAGAAGAGCAACTAGAGAAGTGAAACATAACCTGAGAAAGTTTTATATAGTACAACGAAGCGCTCTGAGCAATAAAATGCTCGACCTCAATGCTCGTATAGAGGGTTGTGACTACGAACTCTGTCCAAGACATATGTTACCAATAAGGCCGAAGATACTTCCAGTCAAAATACCGGAGATAAGGCCAAACGCCATAACATACCCAGAAACCTCCTCTTCAGCGGCTCCTTTCGCATGATCAGGGCCTTTCATCATCGCTAGAGTACAACCACTACCGTTAGTAATGGCGAAACAACCCATCACGAGATGTTTGAACCAATCATAGTAGAATGGAACCAGCATTGGGTACAAACTTATACATATGAACAATGGAATGTAGATGAGACGAGCAGCAACCCAAATCATCAGACACCATTCAGGCATGTTGAACTTTAAACTCGGCGCGAAACGTCCGATGGTATCCACAACCTGGAAGGTGTAGATAACCTGCGCTACGAAGTCAGTATTGCTAGGATCCTCGGACTTCCAATAGGACACTTGTGCAGGGAAGACCACGAAAGTGACAGTCATAGTACCCCATGCACAAATGGCCATAGGTAGAACATCCTTCAGAATGTAAATAACGGGACGTCTAGTCTGACGGGTCTTCAAACTGGTAGTCTTACGTTTCTCCTCGATCTTCAACACCTCTCTCATATAAGGGTGCTTGGAGGTAAAGCATCGATACATAGGAATAACGAAGACAGTGATGACAGATGTAACACAGAAAAAAACGAGACACTGCCACTCTTCTTGGCGCCTAACACGACCAGCTTCGAAAATGACTTGTAATAACATATTGATAGGCCAACCAACCAAACCGGCCACACCTTCACCAGTCATATCGGCGATCATGCATGACGTTGGACAAAGAGCTGCAAGACCGAAGGAAGAAGACTCCATCAACGCATGACCAAAACCGAGCAAGAAGACACAGACCAGAGCAAGGCCGAAACCTAAACCTTCATCGGGACACGGATTCCCATCACCAATAGTCATAGCAACAACAGCAAGGAGGATGTTGAAGATAGCCAAGATGCCACAACCCCAATCGAAACGGGGTGCAAAGCTGAACTTGTTACCTACCCAGATCAATAGAAGCTGAGCCACGTTGACAGCGACAGAGTAGATAATAGGGACAGTCGAGCTGAAGTGATTATGGAACTTGGAGTCCAGATAAGGTAAATCAGCCAAGACGAAGTTCCAAGGGGCCAATGCCACAAATCCAAGAATAAGGAACTGTATCAATAGTGACAAATCGACCTTAGGCTTTGACTCCTGAACCTTGTCTTCAGTCTCTATAGGCCTAGCTTCTTCTATATCAGAGACACTGTCATCCTTATCAGTGAGAGAGGGCGATCCTTGCGTGGAAGACATTGAACTTGGTTATATAAACTAGCAGCAACCCTTGACAGTGTATACGACGTCGATTCGGACGTCAACAATGCACAGCAACTATAGCAGAGAGTAAAACCTACACACTGACAAGAAGAATTCCATGACGCTAGCGCTTAAGCTGAGAAAACTAAAGCGGAGACAGGATTTGTGTAGCATACTGGCCTCTCCCCATGTGTCATAGTATGTGGGATTAATGAACATATCTACATAACTCTCGCCTCGACATCGCTGCACCAATCTATAACAACGATTTAGAGATCAATCCTGGTTCTAGTTTATTTCGGAATGCGTCAAGTAAACGGATGAACAGAGTCTCTTTAACAGATAGTAGAGCAACATAATCTTACCGTAAACCTCCCCATGCTCCAAGTATCAACTCATTGTTCTGTATAGAATATATACATCACCTATAGTACAGATGATGTTCTGCATTCATGAGGTTCATAGCATAGCAATCTCAGAATGCTCAACATTTAGTAGAATCCGTCAATTTGACTTTAGCATCTCAACATAGCCAACAACAAGCCAATACTAACTCATCTCGCCCGTTTCACGAACATGTCATCGTATTCATAGACTTGGAAATCCCCCATAACTCACTCAACTTCTCATACACATCTACCTTTAGAAATAGATTAGAAATAACCGGGTACATCACAATAAGATGATTTCTTCATAACCACGAGATTAGACACTGTCGTGACTTTTTGTGACTAGTGAAGACAAGGACGACCTTAGACAAAACCTTATTCAGATTGGACACTGAATCGACCAACACTGTGACCATAGCAAACAGTTGGCACAATCGAGATCGAACTAGAGTCGGGAGCAACCGATCCCAGGTAATAGACCTCAACAACGTCGCACAGATTCGGCCTAGCAACATAATGCACAGGGACAAGATATTGACATGGGGCCTGATCACATTGAATAAGATAAATACTTCTCATCTGTATGACACATGAACAGAATAAAATAAGCATGAGATCCATACAGGACTACTGAGTCAAGATACAACTGAAGCGCTGACGATTGATACAGATCAATAAGTCGAGAGACACGACATAACATTAAAATGCCTACTGACCCAAGCCAATATGAGCACAAAGGCCGAACACGCTGCCGCACAAAATACCAAAGATCAAAGCGAAGGCCATGGTATACCCTGCAACCTCTTGCTCGGCCTTATCCTGACTTACACGAGAAGGACCCTTAACCATCGAAATGGTACAGCCCATCCCATTAGTCAAAGCAAAGAGAGCCATGTCCACATGCTTGAACCAATCCCAATAGAAAGGCTTAACAGTAGGATAGAGACTCGTGCAAATGAATAACGGGATGAAGATACTTCTCCCAAGTACGAAGCACGCAAGGAGCAAGTTCGGCATGGAGATACCAAAGCTAGGTAAGAATCGCCCAACAGTATCGACCACTTGGAAAGTATAGATGACCTGCGGCACAAAACCATCATTGTTAGGATCCTGGGATCGCCACAAGACAACTTGAGCAGGGAAAACGACGAAGGTGACGCCCAGACTGCACCAAGCACAGAACGCCATAGGCGCCACATCTTTAACGATCGCCCACACAGGTCGTCTAGTCTGACGATGTGTCAAAGTCTCCTTGGACCTCTTCGCCTCGATCTTCAAGACCTCAGCCATGAAGGGATGTTTCGAAGTCCATACACGGAACATTGGAACAATGAACATGGTAATAGCAGAGGTAACACAGAAGAATACCAGGCATTGCCATTCCTCTCTTCGTGGCACATTACCAGCTTCCATTATAACTTGTAGAAGCATGTTCAGAGGCCAACCAACGAGACCGGCAATGCCCTCGCCAGTCATGACAGCAATCATACACGATTGAGGGCATAATGCAGCTAGACCAAACGAGGAGGATTCCATGACGGCATGACCAAAACCAAGTAGGAAGACACAACATAAACCGAGACCATAACCGAGACCAGCATCATCGACAGGGTTACCATTGCCGATCAACATAGCGACAACAGCCAACAAGATGTTGAAGATTGACAGAATGATGCAACCCCAATCGAAACGCGGTGCGAATGTAAACTTGTTTCCGACCCAAATTAGGAGCATCTGTGCAAAGTTGACGGCGATCGAGTAAAAGATAGGAGTGGTAGCGGCGAAGTGATGACCAAACTTCCTGTCGAGATAATCGATATCAGCAAGCACAAAGTTCCATGGGGCTAACGCTACAAACCCCAGTATCACGAACTGAATGAGCAAAGATATGTCCACCTTAGCCTGGACTTTTGTCTTTTCCTTGCCGTTTTCGACATCACCTACTTCGGAAGATAAAACATCACCGGATGGGGATGCTTTGAAAGGCATAGCGATATCTATGGATCAAAAATGAAACACCAAAGAACACTTGTGTTTATATATCCAGTATAATTCACTATACAATCCGTAATAGTACAATGACTGATGAACGAGGAGAGGATGAAAAACAACCACTCCAAGGGGTATTAGTCGCCAGAGTCTCACTATGAATCATAGTGTACATGACATGCCGGCACATAATACGGAATTACTTCGTATTACAAAATTTAATGAAACAGGATTTGCAAGCTGTAAAACCTGTTTAATTAAATTTCGTATTCGAACATCATATTCGTCTGAGGCGTTCACACCACCATATATGAGGCAGTAATGATAGTGACCTAAGAATTCAAGGAGGTCCGAGTAGAACCAATCTCTCTGTGAGGAGGTTGAGGACGTGATACTGCCGAGAATTCTCTATACTGTGCTATTGGCTCACTACTCCGGCAATAACCATCCCCCCGGGCTGAAAGTTGCATCTATCCCGTCACCTAGTCTAGGTGAAGGGATAAACCTGTGTGCCCTAGGTGACCTAGGCCACTAGAAGAAACCTGTCAGTTACCAAGAACATTTTCTCAGAATGGTCGGAACCTGCGAGTGACCAAGCTCGGTCGCCAAATCGAATCACTTCTGCTAGAGTTGACCCCAGCTTCTTGCGATGCTGACCATTTTGGCGATTTCAATGCGCGTAGTCGCTGTTGTAATGTGGGAGAATTACCGTTAGCCACATGGGAAACACAATGCACCAGGAGTTAGTCCAAACGAGAATTATCATTCAAGAGTAATGAGCTCCAGTCAGCGAGCCACATCTATGAAACGGTCAGCCGTTACAAGCGAGCGACGTTACAGATACCCTTGCGCCGCCAGGCTGGCGGGCGAGACTCACTACTGCATGCATGCCACAGCCACATCTCCCTTTAGTGGGTGTCGGGCGTCAGAAATGACAGGTACAAGAAACTGGAGCTGAGTAATGCATAATGGCTTCATAATCATAATAGCTTCATAATCATAATATCTTCATTCATCATAACATACTGCAGCGGAGAAGAATCTTGCTAATTCAGATATGGATCCTCAAGTTATTGAAATCTTGACGCCAACGTCGGGTGATCCGAGCCTTGTTACTCATCTTAACCTAGCATAATACCAGAGAGACAGGTACACGACACCTTCGGCCACTTACGACCACTTCTCCGAGCGGTTGACGAGATAAAGGTCAACGTCCACCACACCGCCGAGAATCACGGCGGATACCCGAGCAATCTAGAACACCCAATCGTTACCAGGACTCCGGTAGGCGTTCAAGTTCAACCACCTCTTGAGCCACAGCTGAAGGCGTTGAAGCAGGTAGCACAAAATCATAGTCCTGATATCGGACCAGTTGGTCGCCCGCACACTTAATCCGGTTCTCCAACGTGACCAACGCCGATTGACGTCCACTGACACTAGTGATAGAGTAGGGGCCTTCCACAGTCGGATGGAACGTACTCAACAGTCCGTAAGTGGCGGCATGCTTGAGGTAGAGTACTCGATCCCCTACTCGGAAGGTAGATGCTTGACGGTGGTGATTCATACCGAGTCGGTGGTAGACGTTGTTCTCCCGGATCGGGAGTCCCGATAGATGGTCAGGGTACTGTCGATGTTGGTCTTTAAATCCAGTAGGAATCCACTGTGATCGTCCTTACAGAGCTTCTGGAAACCCTCTTCGTGGCGGAGACCGTTCACATTGCCCCAATCGTCATGGGAGATCTGACCAAATACCAACTGATAGGGGCTGATCTTGTCACGGAAGATTGGTGACCGGTTGTGCACTCGGGCTGCGACGGACAACGCCTCGGGCCGCGAGGCTGACCCAGACTGAGCAATAGCCTGCCGGGCATACCGCTTAATCTCCTGACGAGCACGCTTGCATTTGCCCTCCATTAACGGAGGAACAGGATCTCTCAAACAAATATTAGCAGGACATGATATCATCACGAACATCCCCATGGTCGATGGATTATCCATCGGATATCCATCATGGATATGCTCTGACTATCAATTCATAGTTCATTACAAGTGATGTTGTGCATCCGTGACGTTTATAGCCTTCAAATTCCAGAATTTTCGATATTTCACAATCTTGGACAAATTGAATTGAACCGCTCAATTTAAGCGCCTTAACTTAAGCTGTTATAATTCCATCATACACGCTTTACAAACACACCGTCACGTTCATCGACTCAGAGATCCCCGAAACTAACAACTCAACCACTCATACACATCTACCTTTAGAAATGTAGGTAAATTGGTGTACTAGTGAAGACAAGGGCGACCTCAGACGAAACCTTCTTAAAATTATTCAACTCCAGGGACCATAATCGGCAGTGTTGGACACCAAATCGGCTAACACTTTGTGCATAGCACACAGTTGGTGCAGCCGATATCAGACTAGAGTCGGGAACAACAGATCCTAGGTAACTGACCTCACATCGCACAGATACTCCCTCGCCACATAATACACAGGCACAAGATATTGACTAGCAGCCTGATCACATTCAATAACATAAATACTTCTCATTTGTATGGCACATGAATAGAATAAAATCAACATGATATTCATACAGCACTTCCCAGTTGAGACACAACTGAAGCGCTGATGACTGTTACAAATGAATCAAGTGCAGAGACACACCATAACATCTCTCGAGGATGCGCAAGGCATTAAAGATGAACATGGACTTCCAAGTTCATAACAATGTCACATGGTTATACATCAAAACAGTCAGTCATTTGACTATAACAGATGAAAGTTCTGATAAGACATAACCAACTGTTAAGTTCGGTTATTTATAGAATATTAATAGGATAAATCACGTTACATACAGTGGTTTGTAGATGAATAGTAACAATAACTATTGACCCAAGCCAATATTAGCACAAAGGCCAAACACGCTGCCGCACAAAATACCAAAGATCAAAGCGAAGGCCATGGTATACCCTGCAACCTCTTGCTCGGCCTTATCCTGACTTACACGAGAAGGACCCTTAACCATCGAAATGGTACAGCCCATCCCATTAGTCAAAGCAAAGAGAGCCATGTCCACATGCTTGAACCAATCCCAATAGAAAGGCTTAACAGTAGGATAGAGACTCGTGCAAATGAATAACGGGATGAAGATACTTCTCCCAAGTACGAAGCACGCAAGGAGCAAGTTCGGCATGGAGATACCAAAGCTAGGTAAGAATCGCCCAACAGTATCGACCACTTGGAAAGTATAGATGACCTGCGGCACAAAACCATCATTGTTAGGATTCTGAGATTGCCACAAGACAACTTGAGCAGGGAAAACGACGAAGGTGACACCCAGACTGCACCAAGCACAGAACGCCATAGGCGCCACATCTTTAACGATCGCCCACACAGGTCGTCTAGTCTGACGATGTGTCAAAGTCTCCTTGGACCTCTTCGCCTCGATCTTCAAGACCTCAGCCATGAAGGGATGTTTCGAAGTCCATACACGGAACATTGGAACAATGAACATGGTAATAGCAGAGGTAACACAGAAGAATACCAGGCATTGCCATTCCTCTCTTCGTGGCACATTACCAGCTTCCATTATAACTTGTAGAAGCATGTTTAGAGGCCAACCAACGAGACCGGCAATGCCCTCGCCAGTCATGACAGCAATCATACACGATTGAGGGCATAATGCAGCTAGACCAAACGAGGAGGATTCCATGACGGCATGACCAAAACCAAGTAGGAAGACACAACATAAACCGAGACCATAACCGAGACCAGCATCATCCACAGGGTTACCATTGCCGATCAACATAGCGACAACAGCCAACAAGATGTTGAAGATTAACAGAATGATGCAACCCCAATCAAAACGCGGTGCGAATGTAAACTTGTTTCCGACCCAAATTAGGAGCATTTGTGCAAAGTTGACGGCGATCGAGTAAAAGATAGGAGTGGTAGAGGCGAAGTGATGACCAAACTTCCTGTCGAGATAATCGATATCAGCAAGCACAAAGTTCCATGGGGCTAACGCTACAAACCCCAGTATAGCGAACTGGATGAGCAAAGATATGTCCACCTTAGCCTGGATCTTTGTCTTCTCCTCACCGTTTTCGATATCACCTATTCCGTAACATGGAACATTATCGGATGGGGACGATTTCAGAGACATAGTGATGTCTGTGGATGAAAAATAAAACACTAAACGATAGTGGTAATCATATTCCCATTGCTTCAAAATGTCAACAAATCCAACATTTAATCAATACTCCATCCTAATACTATACGAGTAGATGACTCACCTTCTCAACGGCCCAGTTCAGCTAGCGAGCTAGCTTACGCTAGCACGCATGCCCAAGGCATGGGCTCCATTAGATCACTTGATGATGACCGTATTCCTTTCATTTGGGGCAGATGGATTCCGCAATAGTCCAGCGACTGATGAACGAAAAACAGGATAAGAAACAACCACTCCAAGAGGTATAAATGGCCAAAGCCTCACTATGATGGGTGCACAAAGATTGTCCCTCGTCATTCTCGCGGTACACAACGATCAACTCTGGCTCCAGTGATCCTCCTGTTCATCTCAACACATCGATGAAACTGTTGATGGAATCAGTCGACTAGGTGGTGTAGAGAGGGCTAAAGATTTGAAAGTTTCCACCTGATGTTTCAGTCGCGTAGGAGGTGCCCGATTAACTGGGGCCGTGCCGGCGAATCGCCCCACCCTCCATAGTGTGCAGTCCACACGGGTCTATCCCGTCACCTAGGCCTCTAGACGAAACCTGTTAGTTACAAAGAACATTCTCTCAGAATGGTCGGAGCCTGCGAATGACCAAGCTCAGTCGCCAAATCGAATCACTTCTGCTAGAGTTGACCCTAGTCTCTTGCGCGGATAACCATCTTCAATGCGCGGGGTCGTCGTTGAACATTTTTGTGGCGCGTGACGTATTTTCGTGGCGAAAACGCACAACGATGAATCTGCGTGTGACCTTACATTCTCGACGAGAAGACAGCGGATTCACGCAAGCCCACATGGATAACATACTGCCTTCTAATAGTGGCGGGGAGCCGTCTGGTGGTAAGACAGATGTCAGAAGGTCGTTGTCGAGCGGAAACGACAGTATGGATGCATTATCAGCGAGGGTTTCCTCTGACTCGTCGCTCAGCTATCTGGAGTCTGAGCCGAAATCAGCGAGGGACGATACGTCAAGTGCTTCGACCAATGCAAAGGTGGACTGGCTTTTGCTCGTACAGATGGCCGCCTTCGGATTCATCGCACTTCTCCCATTCAACTTGATACTCACCGAGTTGGACTTCCTCAGCGTCAGCTTTCAGCATCACTATGCTGCTGCCCTATCCTTCCTCTATGCGATTGCAGTTAACATCGTTCAAATCCTCCTCATTTGGTATGGGAATCGGTTCCCATTCAAGCCTAGGATCATCCTCGGATGTGTCTTGATGGCCGCGGGTACTATGCTTACGGCTGTTGTAGCGATAGCAGTGGGCAACTCCACGGTGGCTTTCTCCTTGGCTCTCATCTGTATGTTCGCCTTGGGCGTAGGGTACGCTGTATTCGAGCCTACCGCTCTGGGTATTGCTGCTTTGTGCCCCCCATCATGTACTCTCAGTATTATGGTTGGGGAAGGCATCGCTGGGTTGCTCCCTTGGCCTATGTACGAACTTTTCAACCTCATTTTGCGGTCGGCTGGGATATCAGCAGTTCCCGAATGGAGATGTCTCATACTTTTTACCATCGGATCAGTACTCGCATTGGCGATGATACCAGTATACGCACTAGGCACTGCAAGACATCCCTACGTTGTCAAAGTGTTGGAAATCGAGCAGAATAGGAGAGTTTCAGGTCTTCACGTACGGCAGACAAGGAGACCAGTTCTGGCGATCCTGCGGGATGTTGCTCCTATGGGTGTATGTGTGTGGTTGGCAATGGCTATAACGTTCATAATATTCCCGGCGCAAAGCGTCCTTTGGCAACCACAGAGCCCTTCGAATGTGAACTTTGTAGCTCAGGTCACTTTTACATTTCAAGTGCTGGATACCGTCGGAAGGGCGGCACCAAGTTTTCTCCCAACTTTAGACGGGTGGAAACTTTTCTTCTTTACAATCGCTAGGGCCTGTTTCATCCCGTTGTTTGTCTGTACTGCCAAGTACCCCAACGCTACTCCCTTCACTTGGGATTGGTTCAAACACTTAGAAATGGCCTTACTGGCACTTACAAATGGTATGGGGGTAACCTGGTCGATGGTAGCTGGTCCTCAGAAGGTTGCGTCTGATGAAGCGGAGCAAGAGGTTGCCGGCTATTTCATGCCCTTCGCTCTAGTAGACGGTATCCTATGGGGTAGTGTCCTCGCACTTCTATTAAATGTTGCCCTTGGACAGTGATTTACGACTGAGAGTTTGATGTTGGATTTCTTAGGAGGACACCTGCATTGGCATTCGGAGGATCCTCACGACTGGGGCCTCGTACGATTTTCTATTCAATCTCACTGATTGATACAACTTTCTGTTGCATATCTTGATGGTTGCTTTAATCAAAGCTCAATCTATGATCAGGAAACTCGGATAGAGACCACAATGTTCCATTGGAGACAAAAACACGTGTTAGTAACCTCTTCACGAAAGCCATCGACCGAGGTGGAAGATAGCTTCTCTTCGAGATGTCAGAGGAGCCTTGCGAGGCCTATTCAATTCAACTTCTTATTCGGACTCCATATTCGACCGAGGCGTCCACAACACGATGTTTGAAGCGATAATGATAATGACGTGATAAACCAGGGAGGTCCAAGTCGACTACCAAGAATCGCACTTTGTAGAGGTTTAGAACGTATTACTAACAAAAATTCTCTACATTCTGCCAGTAGCTCACTATACGGGCAATAACCACCGTCCCAGGCTAATTATTTCATTTCTCATCACTTATTGGCCTCAATTGCTACTACTGTAGCAGAACATCTAATCCATTAACAGTTCCACAAGGATGGCGGCTTGCTCCTTATCATCCACGAACCCAACCAACTACTCCCGATCATTATTGGTCCAATGAGACTCGTCGCAGGCGACCTAAGGCTTAGTGATGAAACCACAGAGCTTGAGTGGCCGCTGTTAACAGCAGAGTCGAGAACCAGTCCCTTCTTAAGATTATATACACTCTACCCCATAGGAGTGATGAGGATGGAATGATTGTGTTCCGAGATAGTCAATACGGAACACTACAAGTTGCTGCTCCTGATTATATCCAAGGACTGAATATTACAACTAAACCAAATATGTGAGCTATGTAGAATACCCAAGAAACAGCACCTTCAAAGTTTAGTTGGAGACCTTCATAAGTAGTGATAGAGGATGTTAATACCAAACGATAACTAACATTGAGTAGCTCTATATGCCGAGTAGTTACTCAATATCAGCAAGGGATGTTCCTAAAGCGACGACGAGACACATCGACTTGACTAATGCTCTCAGTAGTTACTACCCTTGATGACTTGCTTATCCTCCTTGCCATTGGTAGTAGGCATGTTACCACCCTCACGTTCGGCAAAGCGGACCTTGAGCTCATCACAGTTGATGCCAGTCATAGGCTTACCGAGGTCCTCGGACACCTCAGCGACGATCTATACAACAACAACAATTCCAAGGACTATACGTTATGCAGGAGTAGTAGAGTATTCACCTTAGGGTCCTTGAAATGAGTAACGGCCTGGACGATAGCACGAGCACGCTTCTCCGGGTTGTCTGACTTGAA